GGAATGCCATTATGTGGTTTTGCTTTAAATCTGGAATATTTTATATAAAAGGATGTAAAAACAATTATAATCAAATAAAGGCTGAGATATGATGATAGTAATATATATAAATATATTTGATTTAAAATATGATTTGATATGAATTGTAGGTGATGACTGTGGAAGGGATGCAGGGAAGTTTTTGTAACCAATCAACACACTCTCTACAACTTGTAATGGAAGATGGTTTTGTGGGGTTTTGTGTGTGTGTGTTTGTCCGTTTGTGTTTATTCAAAAATAAAAACAATTCTTTATAAAAAAAATTATTATTATTTGCCTAGTATGAATCTGGACCATAATAGCATTTTTTTTTAAAAAGTCCAATCTTTGTAAATGTTGCTACATATTTCAGTCGATCTACATTGATAAGAAATTCAATATAAAACTATGTGATTCTTATCAGGCTAAAATAATATAGTGTGTAATTTTCCATGTCATTTTGTAAATTTTATAATTGAGATGAGATCATTTTTTGATCTACATTTATTGTAGCATTTTATTGATCTACAAACAGATTGATTATGTGATGGACTGTTTTTACATTGATGTTAAATATTCTCATTTCCCCCCAACATTCTGCTAATTTTTCAAGAGCGAAGAGGGAACAACAGGTGTACAGGGGCATCCTTGTTGGTGCCTTTGCTTGTTTGAAGAATTAAATTCAGGTATCCTCAACTTACAGCCATTCATTTAGCAACCATTTGAAGTTGCAACAACATTGAAAAGGTGACTTACAATGGTCCTTGCACTTATGACCGTTGCAGCATGCCCACAGTCACCTGACCAAAACGCAGCCACTTGGCAACTGGCATGTATTTCTGATGGTTGCAGCATCCCGGGATCACGTGATCACCATTGGCAACCTTCCCAGGTGGCTTCTAACAAGCAGAGTTAATGGGGGAAGCCAGATTCGCTTAATGACCATTTGATTTCGCTTATCATCTTGCAGTGATTCTCTAAACAGTCATGGCCAAAAAGGTGGTAAAATTATTCGCTTAACCACCACCTTGCTTAAGAGTGGCAATTCTGGTCTCAGTTGTAGTTGTAAGTTGAGGACTACCTGCATGCTATTTCTTATGCCAATGAATGTAAGGATCAGCTGCCCATTCAATAAAGGTCAATGTATCCTATACTAACTTCTGCAGTCCCAAGACCATTTGCATCTTTGGCAAAGGAAGAGCATTTTATCCCGCTTATGGCTTACCTTCTTTCTACCTAGGGAATACACTCTGGATGTCTATCGACTGTCCTCTGTGGTCACCCAGCATGATGCCAAGAAAGCTGGCGCAGAAGTGGTGAAACAAGTGGAACATCCTCTCCTCAGTGGTCTTCTCTACCCTGGGCTGCAGGTAGAGAGACATCCATAAGTTTTTATCTTTAGCCAAGTGTTTATCTTTTAAAAAAAACACAATCTGAGTTTATTATAGTAGGTTTGCAGGGCCAAGTTTGTGTGGAACAATAGGAGGAGCGGAAGCACTCTGGTTTTAAGTGTATTAGAAGTGATTTAGCCTTGGATTCCCCCAATCTCAATGTTTGAGGAGCCACACACCTTTTTGAGGTATATTTGCAAATTAATTCCCAAGCTGAGTTTCATTTGCAAACGTTCCACAGACTAAAAACAACAGGCTGCAGAAAAACTAGGACGTTAATTGTGGCTGAACAAAGAAACATGTTCCTTCGTGGTTAGCTTCTGGAGCTCGTTGTCTCTCAGTTATGACCCTTGCACATGTTACCTTCTGAAGGAAAAATGGGGGACACTCTTGTTAGTCAGTAGGTTCCTAAGGAGTCCTTTTTTCTTGCTCTTGCTGCAGGCACTGGATGAAGAGTACCTGAAAGTTGACGCACAGTTTGGAGGAGTGGATCAGAGAAAAATCTTCACTTTTGCAGAAAAGGTGAAAGCAGAGGCCTGCCTCTTCCCAAATATGCTAGCCAAGACTCTGTTGCCTTTGGTTGTAACCATGCGGTATCCCATGGCTGGACCGAGATATTTTCCAGGAGCTCTTGCCTCCAAGTAAGGGATGATCACAACTTCCTGCCCAGGGAGAGACTGAATGTGGCCCACCAGAGGTGCCAGTTTCAGTCAGAAAGGGACACTTCTCTCCAGGTGTGGTGGAACCACTGGCTGAAGGGGAGAGAGCCCCTCGAGTGGGAGGAAAGAGACAATCCAGCTTAGACTGTTCAGGGGATGAAACCTCTGAGGTCAGACCCTTCGGTCTCCATTGGCCATTTCTCCTGCCAGGAAAGGCAGGCCGTCTTCTAAGATAGGTGCTCACTTGGACCGATCCACAAGCGTTTCTCGTTGCTTGGCCTGTGGACGCCACTTCAACCCCCTTCTTGGGGGAGTCGCTTGTATCTCTTCATCCACTAAGCCACGTCTCTTCCTCTCAGCCCCCTGAATTGTTTGTGTGTGACACGTGTGTGTGTTTTTTTCTCTCTGCTGTAGTATCTCCCATCCCTGGGCTACACAAAACGCATCCACCTGATGAACCCCATGGTGCCTGGATTGACGGGCAGCAAAATGAGCTCTTCGGAAGAGGTGGGTCTCCAACACCCATGCCTGTGGGTGAGAGAGAGCTCCACTTTCAGGCATTGGAGTTGTGCTCATAGAATAGGTGATTAATCAAGCTGGGTGTACAGGAAGGGGATTCATAAATCAGATAACATTAGATAAGTATATTAAAGAAACAAAATGGAGAAAAGAATATAACAAGGCCGAGAGTGGGCCTTGATCGGATTTCTTGGAGCGAGTTCCAGCCTGTTACTCCTGAGGAAGTGGACAAGGCCATGGGAACTGTGAGTACCTCCACCTGTTTACTGGACCCGTGGCCCGCCTGGCTGGTTTCGACCAGCAGGGAGGTGACACGAGGCTGGCTCCAGAGGATTGTTAATATCTCTCTTCAGGAGGGATCTTTCCCACTGCCCCTAAAGGATGCGGTGGTAAGACCCCTCCTTAAGAAGCCTTCTCTGGATCCAGCTATTCTTAAAAACCACCGTCCAGTCTCCAACCTTCCTTTTGTAGGGAAGGTTGTTGAGAAGGTGGAGATACTCACAGCTCCCATGGCCTTGTCCACTTCCTCAGGAGTAACAGGCTGGAACTCGCTCCAAGAAATCCGATCAAGGCCCACTCTCGGCATCTCGGCAGGTACTGCCCAAGTGGAGTCCAGGTCCGTCTGAATCTGAGCTACTTTATCCGACAGAAACTGAACAAATTCCTCAGCTCTTCCCTGTAAGGGTTTCTCTGCATCCTTCCCCTTCAGGAGGGAGCGAGTTATCCTAAACAGGGCGGCCGGGCGAGATTCTGCGGACGCAATAAGAGCGGAAAAAGGAGCACATTTTGCCGCCCGTATCACCACTAAGACCTAATAAAGGTTCTTAACTGTGTTCGGTCAGATTTGGAGTTACTGGCCCTCCAACGTCGCTCTAGGCGTCTCTTCTGGCGTTTCATCTCCCGGAGTTCCTTGGTGAACCAAGG